TTTTTTTTTGTTATAAATAAAAGGTAAATTTTTTTTTTGACAAAAAATGATGCTCTTAAAAAATGAAAAAGAAAAAAATCTTAATTCCATGATAGTATTTGATGTCTTATGTGTTCCCCTCTGTGCGTATTTGTGTTGTGTTTTTTTTTTCTTGGGCATTGCCCAAAAATTCAATTTTACCACGGTGATTAAAGGAGTGTTCGAAGAGATACAAAAAAAAAGCAATAAATAAGATGGAGGTAAAGAGGGGATTGACGAAAAACGGGAATGGGAAAAAAATTGCCAAATTGTAATCCGTAATCGTTGTTAACTTCTCAAAGACGGACGGTGACGTTCACAACGGATATCAATGAGGGTACTACAGTCATCATCACTGAATAAATTCACCATCATCATCTTTTGCACAGATTCCTCCAAGTAGTTCAAATACTATGCTTCTGTCTGTATATCAACAGAAATGTTTATATCGTCAACAACAATCTTCTTCTTCTTCTTCTTCTTCTTCTTCTTCTTCTTCTTCTCATCTTCCTCCTTATCTCGTCGTTCTCCTTGTAACTGTTTTTTTCCCCGATTTCTACCTTCATCTTCTTCTGCAACCATCAAAACTGTTCGTTTGCCAAAACCTCTCATAGTTGTGCTCCATTAGAAACTCCCAATGCATCTTAGTTTTTTAGAAAAAATATAAAAATGAAAGAAGAAAAGAAAACTTGTAAAAAACTGATAGGAAAACAAATATTTTTTTGTTATGAAAGAGACAGCTTTGAAGAAAGAATTATATAAGGAAGAAAAAAAAAAATACATGAGTAAACAAACTAAAAACTAATTTTCTTTTCGTCTTCCCGTTTTCTTCCTTTCACTTTCCTCCTGTCATCGTCTTACAGTTTTTTTTTTTCTCTCTTACTATTTGATAAGTCCAAGAGAGAGCGAAAAAAATTTGGAAGATCGAAATAGCAGCATCAGTATCAGTGCATTATAAATAAATAAAGTTGATCTATTAAGCAGGCGATTGTTAAAGTTTTTACAAGTTATAATCAGCAGTAATCAGAGAATTATCACGGTACTGTTACTGGGTGTTGGCAACAATCGTCTAACAGTGTCGTCAGATGTCGTTATGATGCTAAACTAAAAAAATTATTACGAGGTCATTTTCTCGGCCTCCACCCCTGTCCTGTCCTGTCCTGCC